GTTGGGAGAAGGATGCATGTGAACCTTTCACATCTTTTCCCGTTATGGCTTGTCTTAGCAATTCTTCTTTCACCCGGAATCTCTTTACGCACTCTCCCTTTCCTGCTTCGTTCTTCACACATCGAGTACTCAAAAACCCACCACTTTACCAGCCACAAGCATGACTTGACGACTTCATCAAAAAAAACGATTCGATTTCGCGAAATTTGTGCGACATATTTGACTTTAAGATGACATCATGGATGAGCCGCATTGCTTGTACATAAAGCTGAATAGCGCCACGCGAACCATTTGCTCTGTCTCCAGAGGTCTAGCCAATTTTGTTTGCGTTTAAGCAAACACTGCTCTGTCACCAGGAAATTACTGGAACTCGGTTGTCCGAGTAATCGGGACATTTATGAAAGACTTGCCATGAAATGTCTCGCAAGAGAGTAAATGGTGCCTGTTAATTACTGGATTCTCCGGCTTGTTCTTTACGGAAGTTCAGCTTCCTGGAACGTTTTGTTCAGGGACTGGAAAAGTGCCGCTTATTCTGCTATTTCAAGTTGTATCTGGGTCTGTGATCAAGGGGGCAAGCTCGTACAATTTCAACTTCGCAACTTACTTGGTTATTCGGCTGAATCAATTTGCATTTTTGACTTTCACCTCTTCAAGCGCGTAGCGTAAGAAAAATTGAAACCTGATTTTGACGTGAATAATCATGCTGAGAAGTAGATCAGTTAAGAATTCACAGGGTTCTGTTTGTTGAATTGCAAGAACAATGATAATTTCACACTTTCTATGCATACTTTTCCGTACGTGGCAAACAGACAAATAAATCAATTTTAGGCTTTATGACATGCACATAAGACAATTTTATGTTTCATGACAACATAATTGGAGACCGTATGCGCAAGAAATCATAATTCTAGTTTGTTCTAGTTCTTTGAACATGAAGAACTATCTATTTTAGAACATTTTCTTCTCAGACAGTGATTTTCCCTCCAAAGCTTTCATGAGACCGTGCACGGCACCCAGCCGTACGGGTAAGCCGGAATTAAATTTTACGGGGACACATGTAGGCGGGAGATACTGCACTAGTTTTTCGACTTCCTAGCTTCTGGGGTCCCTGAAATGATAATTTTTCCCGCCAAAACTTCCATCGGTCATGCGTGGTACCTACGCGTAGTGAAGAACTGGAAATAAACTCGCTAAATCACACATTAGCGGGAAATATTCTTGTGAAATTTGAGTTTTCCAACTTCCCTGATTCTCGAGATAGCAATTTTCCCGCCGAAAATTTCGCGGGGCCTTACGTGATGCCCAGGAAATGGGAAGGCTGAGTTTAAGCGCCCGGTGTAAGCAACGAAACATCTCCTAACACTTTAATCCTCTAGCCTTTGTGGTTCCTTAGATAAACTTTCCCCACCAGAACCAGACGAATGGGAAGGTTGGAATTTAAATCTGCGGTGTCACAAATGGCCAGGGAACATACCCAGAAAATTTCAGCTTCTTAGCTTCCGCAGTTCCCGAGACAAAAACTTTCCCTGCTAAAACTTTTAGGGGGTGTACGTGTCAACTGAATTTACAGGGTCACACATGGGTGGGGAACATTCCCATAAATTTTCAGTTCCCTGGCTTTTGTGGTTCCCAAATTGAAAATTGTGGATAATTTGCTGCGGACACACACACACACACACACACACACACACACAAACACACACACAGGCAATCCGTGACAATATGTGTTTTGTACTGCTGTTACATGGCACAAAACGCATAAAAATGGCTATACTGAACTTACATTAGAGTGCTTTGTGCAGCATCCACTTTGCTCATGCCGGAATGTCGCGGCTGATAAAACAGGCGATTCATATTTGCAAGCTCCACCTAAAACTGACAAATCGTTACGTTAATAAGTGTTACTGATGGGTAGAAAAGTTCATATACAGTGACGTAGCGCAAGTAGAAGGACGTGCTAATAAAAAGGAGGCCGAGGGGGTCCGTGTTGTGCGTGTCGTCGTTCCGGTGTTGAGCTGGTGCTGGTGTTAAAACTGTGTTTATTCGGAGATAAGGCTGCTTTATATAAAAAAATGAAAGCCACACCTCCCCGATCATACGTGCTGACCCGAGGGG